AGAAATCGTTGGAGAGAAGAGCAGAAACAATGGTTGACTGTTCGTTGCAGTCTTGGAGAGAAGCAATAGAAGCAAAAAACTTATTAATTTACTGGTTTGGTATTGAATTGATATAAGCAGAAGAATAAGATGTCGATTCGGTTTCCATAGTAAAATTAGTATTTTTATAAAAACTGGACCGTCCCATCGGCCCACCACCTCACCCATCAAGACGCACGTACAATCTGATCTGTTAGAGGCGGCGCCTCATAAACGTTTTGTGGCGCTTTTTAAAACAGTTGGTTGATCATCTCCAAACATAGACCTTTGAATGCTTAGGATAGAAGAGACGGCTTGTACCAAGGATGGCATTAAACAAGTTAAATATCAACAAAAATTGATATGCACAAAAGCAGTTAACTAAATTTGCATCAGTAGAGTTTGTCAAAGGGTTAGCCTCACATATAAGGGCGCCATTCATTTCCCTGAACCTTAAAAGGTTCTCGTTTTTACGTTAGCATTGGTTGTTCTTTAATTTTTTCCGATTTATTTAGCCAACTCCAACTATTTCGGAACAAAATATTTCCTTGTTGCAAAGTATGAGGTAAAACAAAGCGTTCCACAAAGATTGGCATGGCAATTATAGAGATGAATTTACTTTACCTCAAAATCATACATTGTGATGCTAAGCCTTTCCATCTCCTCAGAAGTCCATTCCTTCCTCCACCAATCTTCATTTGGTTCTGTGTCTGTACTTTCTCTAGAAAGCTCTAGCTTCCTTCCATCGATGATTCTCTTCATAGCAAGGTTACCAGCTTTGTTCACCAATGCCGCTAAATCAGCTCCAACAAATCCTGGAGTGGCCCTAGAAATTCTGACAAGATCAAAAGCACCTTCAAGCTTCAAATTGCGTGTAAGCACCGAAAGAATCTGCACTCTAGCATTTTCATCTGGAACACCTAAAGTAATCTCTTAGTCAAAACGTCCGGGCCTTCTTAATGCTGGATCAACAGCATCAGGTCTATTAGTAGCGCCTATAACCAAGACATATCCCGGTTTGCATTCAGATGTCTTCGCATTTTTTGGCGTATCATCTGGTTTAGCAATTCTGTGAGATTCATCCATACAAGTCATCAGTTGTGTCACAATGCGCCGTTCCATCTCCCTTTGAAGGTTCTCTCTTTTTGAAGCAATCGCATCAATCTCATCAATGAAAACTATAGACGGTGCAGTTCTGTATGCTTTAGAAAACAACTCTCGTATATTTTCATCTGATGCACCTGAAATTCTTGCAATACCGTGTGAACTTCTGAACTGAGTATGAACTCAATGAGAGGGGGAACACATTAAAGATTATGGAACATCAACATGATAGAACAAATATATAGAGAGATAGAGAGAGCGAGAGAGATTAAGAGAGCGAGAGAGATTATTACTTAAGATGCATCAGCAAATGCAAGTTTAAATCATACAAGCAGCAGAGTTTATGACTTTCAGATTCAAATAAATGCAAGCACCGGATAGCTAGCAATTTTATCCCTATAACCCCAAGACAGAAATACCACCTTGGTCACCTATGTTCTCGCCTTGCAAAACATGATATCCAGCTCCAACCAGCCTAGAAAATAGATACATAGCTAAACCTCATTCTATACCTTGTGGGGACAACGAAACACTTTTTAAGACAACATAGGTTCAGGTTAATTTGTTCGAAAGGACGTGTGGTGATTTGAAGATAGTAAATTACAACACTCACATGAAATGATTACCTAGTGCTTCACAATTTCTCAACTATGACAAGGCCATTTCAAAGCCCTTTCAATTGTCATTGCACTATAGTGAAGTGGTTTATTAATGGGCTAAGTTTTTAACTGAGTACTTCTGAATTTTGTTTAGGGATGTTTAGATGAGAATAGTGTATGAAGCTAAGGCCATCCATTATATATCAACTTAGTACTTCAAATGATTGGGCAAAGTGTAAAGGAAGTGTTACCTTTGAGATTCCACAATTCATTCCTAAATCTCTGAACTCACATCTGACCCCCCACCCCTCTTTTTCATTAATTTTCACACCTCATATGGGAACGTTCGTGCCATAAGTTGAATCTTTGCCCATGTGCTTACATGAATTTCTTTCCTACTTGAGTTTCAGATAATGTATATCAGTTAAAATAATTATTGTGGAAGGATAACAGATTATTGTAGTTACCTAAGAATATAGTTGATATGATCCTTATAGTATGAACATAAGATTAAATGTACATGTTGACAAAAACAAATGAGTTCTCCAACTAATTCTCCCATTAAAACAATCCTTTGCAGAATTGCTTTAACATGATAACAAATTGTATGAAACTTAAACTTATCCATAACTTACAAAAACAACCAAGAAACACCATGACCCCAAAAATGATCTCAGCCCTTTATATTAGGTTATTGTTAGCGGCTTTTTCTCAAAATGAAGATGCTATCTAAGACGCTTATCACACACCGCATTTGCGAACATGATCAAACTTCATAGCAAATGAACAATTTTTTGTCATAACAAGAACAATGTTTTGTCATAACGAGAATATAAGGCAAACCTCATTATGTTATGTCAAAACGTAATGGCCTAGCTATACCTTACCTATAAGGAACCCTTAAACCGAACTTTCTTGTATATAGTAATAATATTACCTCACTAATCCCCGAATATAAAAGGACTAATTTGTAAACTCTGTGCAGAGTTAGAGTTACACTAAAAACCTCACCAACAATGTCACCATCGTCAACAGACTTAAATTCTCTATACTGAAGCTATCTGAAAGTGACCATAGCTGAAAACAACAAAATGATGTAAGATTGCGTGCCTAGCAAATCAATAACTCAACTCTAGAATTACTGGGATGTGCATATGGGGATTTCAGATGCTGTAACCAAAAGCTAATATCCCGTTTTGCAATAGAGTTGCAATCAAACGAAAGTATAATTTGAGTAAAGATAATATAAGCTACCTGATATACCAGAGACCAACTCAGTGGCAGAAATCTTATAAAATGGAACTCCAGTCTCATTAGCAATGGCATGAGCCAGTTTAGTCTTCCCACACCCAGGCGGCCCGTGTAACAAAATACCAGTCATCGGCCTAACTCCGAGGCTTCGTGGTAGCTGTGGATGAAATAAAGGAACAATCACCTCCATCTTCAACTCAACCAAGACTACATCCATACCACCCAGGTCCTTAAACCACGGCCCATCGTCTTTCCCATTGTCATCAACACCATCATCATTTGACAAGTTTTTTTGTTTCTGTGCCTTAGCTTTTACCACTGGCTTAACCCTTCTATCTTGCTTCATCAAATCAACTTTTGTATTCACCTTATTGTTGCTATTGGTAACCACCTCTAACTCCACATTTTTACGTTTTTCATCGACTTTTCCATCAATTTTGTACTTGTTTCTGAGCATCGATTTCGTTAAGTCAAACTCTGGTTCAAATTGCAGGCTATAAACCTCATTATCGGAGGTCGAAACGGCACTTCTATCTTCTTCTACATCAGAAGAAGACGATTCCGAAGACTCAGAGGTTGATTGTAGCTTAATTCGTCTCCGTGCAACATGCTTCATCTCCAACATCTGCAATCTCTGCTCTCTGCTATCAATCTTCTTCGCCTTCTTGCTCGCAGGACTGCGTAGCGACGGTGACGTGCCGTCATCGTCATCGTTGAATATAGATCGACGGTCATCGTCAGTGTTTCTTCTTGATTTCTTCTTGTCTTTGCTGTTGCTGGAATCTAGGGCTTGTTTCACCATTCTAGTGAAAGGTTGGAGCTTGTGGCGACCGTATTCGGGAAAAGTGGCACGGAGGCGGTCGACGATTTCGTCGAAGGATGGAGTGGCGTTGCCGAAGGTTTCATGTACCCGACGGCGTAGAACTCTCTCGAACACCGACGACGTCGCCGGCGACTTACCTGCTTTCCCCATAGATAATGCGGCGGTGGACCAAAATTGTGTGAAGTTTGAAAAGGCTGCCTGTGTTGTGCAGCTGCAGTTTATTAGAGCTTCGGTTACGCAAGATTCCAGATTTTGATAAGGGGTGTTTGGGATTTACAGTTTGGTACCGATAATAAACTAAATGCTAATATTTGAACGGGGAAAAATAAAATTGTTTATATCTATGCCAATTCGATAATAAACAGTTTTTGATAAGTTAATTATTCATAACTTATAAAAAACTGTTTATTACCAGTTTACCATTTTAACCTTGTTTTATTAATGTTTGTTAATTATTAATCTTATTAATATAAATTTTTTTCAAATATATTATTATAAATGATATAAAATAAATTTTTACATGTTAAAAATCAAATAAGTTAATAAGCATTCTCAAACACTCTTATAAGTCAATAATATAGAAGAGTGTTTTTTTGGTCATTTTACATATATAAGCAAAATTTGCCAAACACTAAAAAATAACTTATCAGTTTATTACTTTTTGGTATTGCTGTAAGCTAATTCAAACACTTTTTACAAAACTCTGATTTAATACCACATAAGTTAATAAGCACTTTTACAAAAAAAACATAAGTTGTTTTAAATAAACAATCCCAAACACCCTCTAAATATTAATTATATTACTAAAATACTAGAGGGGTGCTTTTACAATGTAGTAACATACATCTCGATTTTAATGTTTTATTTTATTTTGTCTTTGTCTCCATCGATGTTATAATACGATTTTATGTGGTAAAACGATAATGTTTTATTTTTGAATAAAATATAAATTTAAAGGTATCATAAATTTTTGAAAAAAATATATCAATAAATCTTCATTTTAATGTTTAGTTTTTATTTTGTCTATATCGATATAATACTTTTTATGTGGTTTTGAGAAAGTGATAATATTTTTATTTTTGAATGAAATATATTTTTGAAAAAAGCAAATGGGTATTAGTATCAAATTTATATTTAATAGTTATCGTTTTTTATGTAACTTTTTTAATTCAATTTTTATTATAATTTAATTTAGATTAAATAACAAAGTAATTTATTTTTAGTTTAATAATATAATNAGTTTAATAATATAATTTTTTATAAAGATAATAATTATATATTCTATTAGTACTCAACCATTATCTTAATTATATTTTATATTTTTTATATTTACAATGAATGTTTATCATGTATTTGATCATGTTTATCTATAGTTATTTACGCGAATTTAAAATAAAACTTTAATAAGTTGTGCTTACGTAAAATTACTTGTTATCTTAAATTTTAACTAATATGTATCAAAGTTTGATTGTAAACGGAAGTGATTATCAAATCAAATATTATATTAAAACTATATCAAATCACAATAGATTAGTAATATAGTTTTATTAACAGTAAATTTTGATTACACCAAAAAATAAAAAATGGAAAAGCCTCAAAAGTATTGGGATAAATTGTGAATAGAGCTTAAAACATCTGGATCTCCACAGGCGGCCTCTCAATCTTTCGCTGAACCTCCCTGTGCTCAATCTCCTCAGGCTTCTCGATTCCTCAATCTCGATCTGAACCTCCCTGCCCGCTTAATCGCTCTAGCCTCCACGATTTTTCGTTAGGGTTTACAACCAATAATTGGAACTCTGCTCAAGTCTCCAAGCATCCTTGCTTACGAATCATTAGGTAACAGCTAAGAACATCCGTATATTTTTCGTCGATTTCATTGTACGATCAATTGTTTATGCCATTTTCGTTGACAGAAGCTTGTTAGCGTAGAAATCTAGCACCCATAGTTTCTACATCAGACTTTTGCTTCTCGGCTTCATGATTTCTGATGCAGAAAAGATGTGGATCCACTTTGTTCTCTTCTCGTGACCTACTTTCTCATTTTGTGGTTTTGGGTTTCTGCAACTGTTGGCATTTATATATAGTTCTGACCAGATCATCTTAATTTTGACGCATTGCTGAAAATCACTTCTTCAAATATGTCAGGGATAAACGAACAGGTACAAAATTATAAAGCTTGTTCGATCCAAATGATTTTTATCCTAAACTAGTTAACTAACAGGCTAGAAATGAAAATGCAAGTATTAGATCACTTCAAAATTCAACTGTACCGTTTCCTGAACAACCATGTCTTTTGTTATACAATTTTACCAATCACTAGTTGGTCTAGTGGTGGCAAGGGGACTTGGCTTCCTAGGAGGTCTAGTGTTTGAATCTCACCCTAGTCAATTAATTGATCGGTACCTCCTTCTGTAAATGTCTTGCCTTGGGCGTGCCCGCAAAGGTCCGATTCCAGGGGAGGACAGACTGTCTTTTTTGCTTATGAGGTATGGCAAGTAGGGCTCACAAAATGTGGACCACGGGGCCATGAGGTCCCCGCCAATAAACCTTGTTATACAATTTTGGTTGCGTATATTCTTATGATTTTTCTGGATGTAACCTGCATAAGTTCATTAGTCTTTAGCAGCGTTTAAAGTGTACTTAATGTGGTAATCAGATGAAAGTTAATAAGGTTATGTAATGTGTACAAGGTAAGAAAGCATCACTACTATGAAAGTGGTATGGTATGGCTAATTAGTGAGAATTCTGGATATTCAAAGCTTATGAAGTAGATCACAAGTAGTAAACAGATATACAATGTATGTAGCTCATTTTATATCTTGAAATCCAGTCATGAATGAAAAAGGGATATACTGGAGATAAGTGATTCTACTGTCTTTTTTTGTTCTGATCATTCAGTGAACTTTTTATTGTTTTACAATTTCCCTGTAAATGTGGTGGACTTTCAATCTAGATAGGACATCTCCAACGGAGGTTAATGGGGAGGATCATGAATGCCATTACACATCATAGCTAAATTAATGGGACCCACTAATTTATTTTTTCTTTTATAATTAAATTTGTAAGGATTTAATTATGATATTATATATATATATATATATATATACACACACTATAATATGATATTTATTAATCAATAAATTAATTTTTATTTTTATTTTTTTTAATTTTAAAAAAAACATAATTAATAAAACATTACATTAATTTCAAAATACATTACATTAATAAGATATTACATTAATTTTAAAATACATTACATAAACTACATTTAGATTTA